TTCAATACTTCGAAAGCTCCATCTGTAGGGCCATGTCGGCGAGAGTAAGGAAGTAGGTGTGCTCCTCCACCATACGTTGAACGGCGATGCTCATGGCTCGTTGCTCCAGGCTAAGGTCGGCATCCAAGTCCTTGCCATACTTATCTGATAGCATCTTCACTATAGCACTCGAATCTGCGTAGACCTGGCCGTTGAGCTCGATGTACGGTGCTTTACCTGAGAGTTTAACCAAATGATAACTGCTGTAGAAGTATACCTCACCGTAGGGGCCATCGGGTCCATTAGCCGGTAGAAGGGTATACGGTAAGCCTGCTAGCTCAAGCCAGATGTGAAGCTTGGTGCAGAAGTGACTCGCTGATGAGGCCATACCATCACCATGATGATTCATCAATATGTAACTACCGAGAATTAAAATGCATGAGTAGCGATCACTTCGGATCGTAGACCAAACAGAAGCTCAACTTACATGTAGATGTGATCATTGATGTAATCAGGAGTCTTGAGGCTCATGGCGACTTATGCTGAGAAATAAGATATTCAAGCAACTATACGGTTCCATTTGAAGCAACGATAATCCGACTCGTTCAATACACTAGCCAGTTGGCCGACATGTTCACATAGGTAGGTTGCACCAACGCCTTTACTCGTACTATATTGAATTCTCCTGTGTGTTGCACACTCGTTGTGTTGTGAACCCTCAGGGTTTTGTGAAGCACCGTTCAATGCTGTGAGGAACACAGTAGATCGATCTGTGGCCTCGAGAGCTCTACACAAGCAGCTGTATGCAAGCGGTATATCACAGACTGATTCGAGGGGATAAGTCACCGCAACACCAGTTATGAGATGTTAACTGTGAAGTGATAGTCTACCTCGATAGACCGCTGTATGGAGGCTCGGCTACCCATGTTGCTTCAATCGGTGGATCCTGATGTCTACTGTGATGAACAAGGGCGATAAGTCATCGTCGACACCATGAGCACTATCGTATGCATTTCGCCTCTGGATTTGCAATATCTCTAACCGGTTTAGGATAACACGAGAACCTTTGGAGTTCTAGACACCAATATTCAAATATACAACTTTACATTTCTCGGCCCCGGAAAGACATGGTATCAAAATCGCTCGCGTTCTCAATCCACGTCGAATATTGGCGTTCAATGACTTAGTCGAATGATAGAAAAGCGATTGACCAATATGAGGAGGCGGTCGAGATCCAACCGATCCTTCTTCAAGAGCTGGGAAAGTCCGGCCAACATTTTATAGTTCTGGAATAGTATTGATTCATCTAGGAGGATTTCGCAGGAAGACAGTCTGGGACAAACGACAGAGTCAGAATCTGACACTTGTTGCCTTAGTTGTTTGGAGAAGCATGGAAAACACGCTTAAGAGTTCGAGAGACGAGCGACTCGTCCAGAATCGAGTTGTGCCAAGACTACGAGATCGTGAAGGGATGACTATTCGACTTGAACGTGGAGATGGCCTGAGATTTACTCTGTCAGTCGTCAGTGCTGCTACGCTTCTTTAATTTCTCCTTTTTAACCCATCCACTGCGGCCCGTAGGCAGGTATCATTGAACTGAAGATCTCTCTTCCCTCCATATCTCGTTCGTTGCTATTCTTGAGATCTATAGGCTACACATCGTAGCTCAATGATTTGGTTTTGCAGCCAAGGGTGGAAGAGTCGAGTTCTCGACTCAAGGGCGGGGAAGTCTAAGTGGTAGATCGAAGAGTCGTAACTAACTTGAATAAAGCTGTTATTAGACTGGTATACAACTCAAGAACGTTCTCATTCAAATGAGCAACAACCGAGGCGAATTCTATTTTTGGGCGAGCGCTAAAAATCATGCTCCGGCGCGCTTTGGAATTTTTGGTTGCGATGTGCCTGCGAATTTGTCATTAGATTTAGCTGGTCACTCAGGAGGTGTATAGTTCTACTTTCACGATAAGGAATTTTCTATCGGTTCTTCGTGATACACTACTAAACTCATTCCCACTAAGAGAATCCTAAGATTACCCTTGGCTGGCTCTGTCGATTTGGACGGTCCCTCAACGCGATTAGTATTCATGGGAGAATACAAGCTTGCCAGCCAGATAGCCACAGAGTCGACATATCATTATATAAAACTAGTCTAGTAGTGTTAGCTTGGTTTAGCCGTAAATGACTGAGGGAATCGATACTCCTCGAAATAACCAATCTAGTGAACAACAACTAGTAGAGGCAGCCCGGTCGAGATTACGGAATTCTAAATTATTAGAGAACTGCATCGCTGAACAAAAGTCGAAACTTGTCGATCTCCTTGGACAGTGTGTAAGAGAAGTTTACGAGAGATTTCAACGTGGTGAATACATTGATTCTGATAGAGTTGAGTATCCACTGCTGCAAACATCAGATAATGTAAATTAATAACAACAACTGCATCGTATGTGATGATCATATACGCAGGTATTAGACTTGGACGAATTACCTCTACGAAACTACGCGGAAGTCGATCTTCGCACGGACGTTGTTGATAGTGTTCTCAGCAATCTATGCGAAGGAGTACTTTCACTCACTCTTGATACTGTAGGCTGCTGCTTCTAACACACGTGTGTTATTGCTGATGAGCCTAAGTCAGATACCAGTAAGGAACGTGAGACAACACGAGGCACTCTTGCGGCAAAATCAGGCATTGGTTGAGAGAATGCAAACTGTTGAGGAAACCCTATTGCGTCGCTCTAGGTGATGAGATCAACAACTTGTAAACGAAATAATATTTATTCTCAGTCTTCTATCACGCTGTCGACTTGCATATTATCGCGAACTCACTCATCTGAGGAACCAGATCTACCTCAAGGGTTTGAGGGAAGCTCGTGGCCATGGTGAGTGAATTCACTTTTATGAATTTTCTATCTATATAATGTGGATAGTGCAGCATTAAATGCATTGTCTACGAGTAGGAACATTGGATTTTCTATGTGGTGATTTGTCTGCTGTCATTCACCAAATGTTTTCAAATCACTTCATATTGCGTAATTTTCTACTGAGTATTACGCCACTTCACGTAAAACGGGGAGTGGAACTCCATTATTGTTACCCTAGTAAACGATGTAGCTTATCTACAGTCGTTTTTCATTTTGTAAATCTCGCAACTTCGAATGTCGAATAAATATGTACTGTTGTGTATGAAATCGACATTTACTACTCACAGCAGCGACTTCAACATCGGAGTTTCACGACCCGTTTGATATGAAGTGGTGTCAAACTCCATGTGAAAAACGCGATATGAAGTCAACTGGGAAGACTTCGCGAGTTACGGTGGGTAGATCACCCCATATCACGTAAAACGCATCTTCACGTGTTTTACGCGTTATTCGCTGCTCACAAGCGTTTTTGTCCGCGAATTGAAGTGAATCGGGTGAAAATTTATTGTGTTTTTCCTCAGAGGAAACCGATGGGGATGTTTACGAAGCTTATTATTTCGACCCGGTCGATTTCATAGAGGACGACCTTTCAGAGTGGGAGTGAAAGCGTCTGAGCTCAGAAGTAGTCTGAGATTTTTAAATAGGTTGCTCAACGATAGGATAAAACTATCTGTTGAATTGTGGGCCAAACGCTACAACGAGTTGAAAGTTGTGAATGAGGAATTGGAAAGTATAATAGCGAGAGATGGATTACGTAAGCGCTTGAGGAAAGGAAAAGCGTATTTTCTTTCGGGGGGGGGGGGGAATTTGAATAATTTGAACTCTTTCTTCATTGGAACTGGATGCCACAATTTTTAATCCGCATTTTCTCTGGTGGAAGGTAGTAGTAGTATTCATTTGGTTGGCAGGCGAGAAGTTGAGGAAAATGCAGGAAGAGGAGGAGGCCAGACGAGAGGCACTCAGGTGGACCTACTTTGAATCTTTTCATGATGAACCTAAGATACGTCGTGTCGTTGTCAGGAGTTCGTCAGCTGTGGATGTGCCAACGCCTCCACCATCGTTAGAAAAGGAGGTCGCTGAGTTATGTGGCAAATACCCTCCTTCTGAGGTCCTCAAGGTCTTAGCTGAAGTAAGTGGTTGTTTGATAGTGTTGATCGTCGTGTTCCTCTAGTAGTAGTAGTAGTAGTAGTAGTAGCGCG